TATATATATATATATATATGATTTACTTTTACATTTCTTTTATAGTTAAAATTTAAAATGATAAAGTTTGAAACGTTTTTTATTTCGTATTATAAATAATTGCCCAGATCTGTTCTTGTTGTAGCAGCATCAACATTGATATTCCGCAGAATCATCATTCATCAGAAAGATCTCGAACTCTCTGTTGGAATTGAATAATCTATCGTTGTGTTCATAGATCACCTTCTGGATGGCTCAGTGTTTATCTACCTCAGGATCAGGATATCGAGCGAAAAATATCGATACCTGACTTATTTGGAAGATGTGTATTCATAGTACATTTGTATCGGAAAAGAAGTATCGATAACAAAAGCATCCGAGAGGAAAAAAAAACAAATCAAGAAATATTTTGTAAAAACTACAATTTTTTAAGTTTTCCATTTTTTATGTAATTCTTTTCATATTTATATATATTCGATGATAACAAACAAAAATGTAATTATAACTAAACTTGTTACGTTTTATTTAACTGAAAATAATTGAAATACAGTCACACAAGTATAAGTCATACAGTTATCAAGACCTTCTATTTACTTATTCGTAAATTTTTCCATAAACTAAAAATAAGTACAAATTAGCGAATATTAAAACTTGTTTACTATTCACATCTTATTATTTTATTTGATTGAGTCTAAAGATCAATGTAATAATATTTTATTTATAAAGTACTGAAAATATAATTAATTGAGAAAAAGAAAATATAATGAAAATATCGATACTCTTTCCGAGTTTCTTTCATTTTTTTTTTCATCTTACACACATTTGTAATGTTGATAGAAAGCATCAATAAACCATTTGACGATGAAAAAAAAATCCGACTTTATCATTAACTCTCGAAACTGCTCGGATCCCGTTCCCACGTTTTACGTGGTGCGATGTGCATGTCGACAGATAAGAGCCGGCTATAAAGCGTTATCGCATTTTCAAATATGTATCTAATTTTCGCATATTATATTATTGACCGATACTCAAGGTAGGCAAGAATTAAGATAGCGTTAAAGCAGAAGCAAATTTAAGTTCGCTTCGCGATCTACCGCAACTACGCGCCAATATGTCTGAAATATCAAGGACGACCGGAAAACCTGCAGATATATCCTGTTGTGGATAATAAAATGTATATATATATATACGAGATATCGCACACAGACGAAAGTTCGTTTGAACAAAGAAAAAAAAAAGAATTAATCAATCCGAGTGTCACCGAAGGTCTGATATACTCAAGTCAAGATTGAAGGATCGAATGAATGCAGAAAGTATGATGCATATATAGTGTTTTGGAGAATCTATTGAAATTGTTTTCTTTGAGATTTTAATCGTCCAAATACACAGCTCAAAACGGAAACGAATAACAATTTGACGAATTCTTTTTAATGGAGATTCACAATTTGTCGCAGATATATTTATTTTATTTTAATCCGTAGATATTTAAATAAATACATTAAAAATTTTTCTTTTTTTGGTAATTGAATTTGATTTCAAATTAACATGCATTTTTTGAATAAGTAAAATTAAATTAAAGTATGAAGAAAAAAATGCAATAATTATTTTACGTACGAGATGTATAATAAATCTTTATTCATATGAATCCAAAACACTGAAAGCATCGTGCAAATAAGATATTGTTTAATTAAATATTGTTGCAAAATAACCATCAAGACAGTCGATAAAATGCGGTGAATGTATTACCGACGCGTTACAACGTGTTCAGTACAACTGTATCTATTCTTGCTTATCGATTTATCGGCATAAACCGAGCGCGATGAACGTTCTACTCGAATGTAAGACGGGTTGCTGCTCCACAGACAAAGGGGCTAACACCTGTTATATCAATGCTAGTTTCGCTAGAATATATAGTGTTTCATAAATGCATGTCAATACTTTAGGAAGTAAATCTATATATTAAAATAAGTAAACAACGTCATATGTTCTACCTTGTTTTTAAAATATGGACGATTACAGAAAATATTCGAAGTGTTTTCGCCTCATGCGTCAACACACGTCATCTACTTCACGCATTAGCATTAAGTCCCACATTTGTTCAAAAATACTAAATATTCTTCGAATAGTCTCAAATCCATTTCGTATTCTTTCTCGCAGATCATCCGCATT